GATCGTATGGGAGTGACCTAGACCTGACCCTTTCAGTAGAACATCAGTTCTTTTGTCAGATCTGGCAGATTGCACGATTTCACCCCTTCCTGGACAGTTGGGTCTCTATCAATGTTGGTTCACACACTACTTGTCTCAAGGATAGACTACTATAGTGCTTTCTATGTGATGCTTCCCTAAGTGACCCAGAGACTACAGCAAATACAAAATGTGGCAGTCATGTTGATTACTGGAGTGAGGAAATTTGACCATGTATCCCCATTCCTGGCCCTCTTGCATTGGTTGCCAGTCTCATTCCTGGCCAAATACAAGGTGTTAATTTTAACATACAAAGCCCTTAACAGTTTAGGGCCTTATTACATCTTGGAGCAGAAATTCTGCCCATTTTACCTGATCTTCCCAGGGGTCGATGTTGCTGGTGTCCACATCTAGAAAGGCAAAATTAAGCCTTCTCAGTGGTAGCCCCCATACTTTGGAAATGTCCCCCATTTAGAGATCCAGCAGGTCTCCACCTTCCAGAGTTTTAAAAAACAACTTAAAATCACACTTTTAAATTAAGCCTTTAAAGATATCCCACTCCTCAGTCTGCTCTCTTATCCATTTGCCACCTGAGGTTTGTCGCCATTATTTAGTTTTTCATTTGTGTATTTATCTGGTTATGTTTTATTGATTTGTGGACTATCTTCATTTATTGGTTTTGATTTGGGAGTAAGGGGAATAGGGTTTACATTCATTGTAATGACTGCCCAAAGTAGTGGTGTCCACTAAATGCAGGCAGAGAGAGAGAGAGAGTACAGTATATATAATAAAATAAAATGTTTCCAAGGTTCACAAGAGATACTGATGTTCTGCTTTTGCTTGCTTCATCTTTGTATTGTAACAAACTTCCAGTAGTCAAGAACCTGGGATTGTAAAAGGATCTCTTCCATCCACTGAATTATTTTAACATTATAATATCATTATTTCACTCCTCTATGTAGATTCCTTTTCTCAAAATTTTACTTTAAATTTAAAGGGTCCTAGTTTTTCTTCAGTTGTGGCCTTTTGCTGATAAGAAAAGGATTCAGAATGATTCCTTAAAACACCATTTAGTGTTTTCTCTGGAATCCTAAAATATTAGTAATATTCCACACATTGCTCTCTGATCATAATGTCACTATATTTCTGCACAGTTTCCTGTCAGCTGGAGGAATGTCAGCTGTCTTCTGTCAAAGTAGATCAGTAGTTTTTCTTCAGAATTGATTCTCAGCCTTGTTCATTTTATCACGTTTAGCACTGTACATCACATAAGAGGCCATGTGGAAATATATGGAAGTATCTTACACATGTCTAATCAGCTTGTCTGAAAGGATCCACAGATCTGTGTGGTGACAACTTGGGAATGAGGACAAATGGGATAAACAGTAGACTATGAGGAACAAACATATTTTGAGTAGAAACTTGAAAGACATGCATGAGGTAGCTTAGTACCATCAGCCCTGAGTGACAGTGACTCATGGGCAAAGATCTTCTATACCTTGATCTCAAATTCATTGAAATGCTGACGACACTGCAGCTTCTGTACGCAGAACACATGTTGTGTCACAGAGCTTCACACTCCCCTACTCTGTTTCACTTTAAACATTACATGTAACACAGAGTGATAGATGCCAGCTTGTAATGTCTTGAATGTTGATACCTTCTGAGTTAGTAACTATAGAGTATTAGGCTTTTAAGATCTGTGTCAGAGTTAGGTGTGCCAATGTAAAGAGTGACATGTTGAAAGAAAAACAGTAAAAATTGTGTTGTCTCTTTGTAGGAGTAGATACAGTACCACCATTCAGTAAACAAACATTCAGGTCAATTGAAAATATTATAAGTAAAAATTAACCATAAAAAAGTAAGGAGAACAGAAACTATAAAAGAGTTTTTTAAAACTAGACCCAAGATAGCAAGAATATCATTGGCTGCCCATTATCATTGGCTGTCCGTTCGCTTCCACATTGATTTCAAAGTCTTAATGATTACATATAAAGCCCTAAACAGTTTAGGACTTTGATACTTGACAGAACGCCTCCTCCCACCTAGATCTACTCGTATCACTTGTTCAAGCCAGGAGGGGCAACTGAGGAGCCTAACGCTGAGGGAGGTCCGGAAAGAAAAAACAAGAAACCGGGCCTTCTCGGCAGGGGCTCCCAGTCTCTGGAACAATCTCTCCTCCGAGATTCGTTTGGCCCCCTCACTGGGCATTTTCAAAAGCCAATTTAAGACCTGGCTATTCAGACAGGCCTTCCCTCTAGGTGTCACTTAATTTTTCTGATTCTCCATCTTGAATGACTATTAATTGTTGTAAATTGTGGTAAAATAGTATTCTTGAAGGTAAAATGGTTTATATGTCAATTGCTTTTACTTTGATTGTTGTGAGCCACCCAGAGTACACTAAGTCTAGATGGGCGGCATATAAGTCGAATGAATGAATGAATGAATGAATGAATGAATGAATGAATGAATGAATGAATGAATGAAATTGTCAAGAATCTGGAAACCAATTTAGGAGATGTCCCGGTGTAGTGTTCATGAAAGGAGAAGGCTGGCGGTTTAGGTGCTCACCAGATAAAGCAATTAGTTTTAGAGAGAGAGCAAAGAAGTCATTCAAACAGATGTCCACCAGTGTAGTCCTCCACACACACCTCTCCACACACCTCTGGGCAACGCACCCTGGAGGACTCCCTTTTATTACTTTAACAAGCTTACAGGTAGTTGACAGTATACTGATAGGGCACAGTTACATAAAGCCAATTAGGATTGGCCGAAGAAAGGCTTTGAAGTTAGCTCTCTATCTCTATGAGAAAGAGGAAGAATGGGTAGCTGCCCCTACTCTCAGAAGCAGCTGCATCCACTAGGAGAGTGTGCTCTTCACTACAATAGATAACAGCTTAACAACCTTGGGGAGGGCCCCCCCACATCCCGGGTAAAAAAAATATTTGCCTGTCACCAGATAGACATGAGCAATATCACAAGGAGTCATCATGGAATGTTGGCATTCCAGACAGAGAAAGGGCTTGTCGCTGATCATCAACCACCTAAGTTCGGAAAGGCAAGGAGGGATTCAGAAGTGTTTCTGTTAATTACTTAATGTTTAGTCAGACTTGTGAAGGAGGAGGCTGTTTTTCAGATAGCAGGAGACCAAGCTATTTATTGCTTTGGGAACACCGTTATTTTAGATACTGTTCTGAAGTGGACTGGCAACCACTGTGGTAATTTAAGGAGTGGTGAGATGTATTCCATGGGACTAGTCCCATTTAACACTTGTGTTTTGAATTAACTGATACATCTTCAAAGGCAACCTCCAGATACACTGGATAGCAATAGTCTCATCTGGAGGTCACTAGAGCAAATGCTACCATAGTTCTCCACCCTCCTTTGCCCCATTCCTTCCACTTTCCCTGCTGTGTTGTAGTCATATGACATATCTGGCGATGGTAACATTGCTGTGGCTTCAGACATCATTGCACCAACACAGTCAGCTGTTTCAGTTTATGATACTCTTCTGTATGGCAAATCAAAAATGCTTCTTTTCTGACTAAATGAGTTTTAAGATCTTGCTTTTAATTTGAGTTGCAACAATTTGGATGTCATATGTTACAGCAGACTCCAGTGTTATATCAATTTGAGGATCTACTGTAAATATTAGATTTAATGCTCTACACTACTGCCAAATTACACATGTGAGTTTTCATGCTGAGCCAAAAGCTCTCAAGTTTGCAACATAACACATAATAAGCATACTCAAATTGCTAACTTATGTGGTTTTCACAATATATTTTTGTTATATCTATTTGTTGCTTAGGCATTATCAATGTTGCGTTATGTGCTCAATTTAAACCTCTGATTTTTAAAAAATTATGCATTAGAATGACTTCCAGATAAAATATTTATCCTTTTTCTTTAAATAATTTTAAAATAATAACATTCTGGCAATATTTGCTAACCAGATATTTTAACAAAGCAGTATAAATCAAACACAGACTCATCTTCAATTGAATTTGACTTTAGGTCACATTACTTTATGATGTATTTGTTACATTTACCTCTCACCTTCCCTCCAAGAAGCTGGGAGGACACATGTGGTTCCCCTACCCATGATATAATTGCAACAATCCTATGGGATAATATGGTCTGAGAAATAAGTGCCCCCAAATCACCCACTGAGTTTCATGGCTGAGTGGAGATTTGAATGTGATCTCCCCAATCCTACTTTATCCACTACCCCATGCCAGTTCTTGATTTTCCAAGCTCATTTAATCATTGATAGGTACCATCAATCTAGATATCAGGCTGCACCCTGAAGAGGGTGTTAGTGTGAACTTGAAATACCGGCATAATGATCAATATGTGATTCACTCAGTTGCCACTACCTTTCTATACCCAATGAGAGGTAGATCAAAAGCAACATTATGGCTCATGGGTGTACCACATGACAATTCCTACCTGGGGTGGTAGGCATATCAGAAACCCAGAGCCCTCTCTTCTGCCGCATTGCTATCCTTGAGCATCTCTTGTCCATAGAATGGATCAAAGCTGTGTTGGCAGTCATTGCCTATCTGTAATACAGAGGCACTGAACATTAGTCTCAACTACTGTGGTATAATAAAACAGAATGAAGGCTGTATGGTGATGTATTCTCGAAGGCTTTCACGGCTGGGATCTGATGGTTGTTGTGGGTTTTCCGGGCTCTTTGGCTGTGTTCTGGAGGTTGTTCTTCCAGTCTCTGTGGCCGGCATCTTCAGAGGAAAAGGAGTAGGAACAGAGCATGGACAGAGTTCCTACTCCTGTTCCTCTGAAGATGCCGGCCAAAGAGACTGGTGAAACATCAGGAAGAACAACCTTCAGAACACAGCCAAAAAACCCACAACAACCAGCTGCATGGTGATCTTCAGCATTTCATACAAGTTCCTATAAGTTTCTATTGATCCAGAACATAATCAGTACTAATTGGAAGCTCTTAATTTTCACTTCAGGCATGAACCATATGGACAGCAATATCCAGCACAAGCACCTCCTTCAGGACAGCCTCCCTATGGAGGGCACCAACCTGCAATGTTTCCACAGCAGCAGGTAAACACATATGATCATAATATTCCCTTTGCAGAATTTATTCTAGGTATCCAGTCATTTGTGTAGAAGTAGCAAACAAAACTTAGAGTGATTTCTTTTGGCAGACAGTGAAGGCATTGCCATGTGCTTGAGTGCACGTGATATATTCCTTTTATATTAAAAGATTCACAGCTGGAATCACATGATCCAGTGAATAACATTAAAGAACAGTGCAACTTATTTACTGGAAAGTGGATGCAAATGCAGACAGAATTTAAAGACTGTCACTTGACCGAATCCAGTTAGCTTAAGGAGTGTACATGGGTGTCTGTTTTAGACAGCAGGTTGGCAACTAGCATCCTCCCCCACTGTAAAATTCCAAATTTATTTATTCTGTTAATGGACACAGACATGCTGTGTCTTAGTGGAGTTTGGATGCGTAACTTATGCTAAAACTGCCACTATGCAGTTTGTCACCTCCTCCTGAAGGGGAAAAAAATGAGAGTGCAGATTACATCGACGTAAGGCAGCCTGAGCAAAGTTTGGTCCACCAAATACTGTTGGAGTGCAATTCTAAGCATTCTTCACCACTGGCTGTGCTGGCAGGGGCTGGTGGGAGTTCATTCCATCAATAGCTGGAGGGCCACAGGTTGCCTATCTGTGAGGTAAGGGCTCAGTGGAAGTTAGATCGAAATGTCCTTGTGCTTCTAGTGGAGGGAGGTTCGGGCAGAAATACAAAATCAGCCTCCCTGCTTAAATCTGTGGGGTAGCTAGGACTATGGAGAAATAATTAAATAGTTGTCAAAGCATTGTATTCACATAACTGTCAAAAGATATTATACAGCTCTTTAGTACTTCTCAGTGCAAAACAGCAGCCAAGAATCACATCCAGTACTATGCATAGCAATCCAATTATCCCTTGACCCAGAGATTAAAAACCTAGTGTCTGTTACTTTCCTGATTTACGAAGTTGAGATGTCTGTGAATCATAGGTAGTGGTGACACTTTCAAAAGAGCCTTCTCTGACCAGAACATTAAGAAATATATGGAAGATATCCTGGATTTTATTTTGTTGTTTGTTCAAGACAGCTAGCTTCCCACGTAAATAGATACTTTCTTCACATTTTACATTCATGTGGGTATGGTTTCATATCCTGAATGGTGTTTTTAGTATATATGCTGGAGATTTAAGCTTTTCCAAGAAGCAGGTTCTAATGAGCTTTAAAACTAAACAGAGGCCTTTTCAGCTTTCTGCTTATTTTTTAAAAATTTAAAAGACAACCTAATAAAAGAGACTGTTTAGTAAAAGTTAGAGGAAAAGTCAAAAACAACCAGAAAATGTTTATCAATATTTTTGATGGCCATTTTTAATGACCTCTGAATTTAAAACTACCATAACAAATATTAGTGTATGGCTTGTTTCCTGTTAAATCTACAGTTACAAGCAAACTAAAACAGACCCCTAAAATGAAAGGACTACTTCAGTGACAATCATAAGCGTTTCTCTCCTGGCACTGTGTCACACAGGATCATGATCCTGTTGCCAGTCCATATATATTTATTGAAAGCATTAACAGCTCGCCATATGTCTGTGAGAACACTAAGAAAAATTACAGTAATATCAAAATGTGTATAGAATGTGAGCTAAAATTCTACTCTCATGCCAGTTTATAAGAATATGAAAGAATCATGTTTATTATCCTATTTTAAATCTTATTCCTGTTGGAATTTGTTTTCAGAACTACAAGCGTCATATGGATGGCATGTACGGCCCTCCAGCAAAACGCCCTGATGGAGATATGTTCAATATGCAGTATGGGAACCACCAGCAGGAGATGTTTAACCAGTACAGCAGTACTTACTCTGGACCAGACAGGAGACCCATGCAAGGACAATATCCATATGCTTATAGCAGAGAGAGAATGCAGGGTCCAGGACAAATTCAGCAACATGCAATACCCTCTCAGATGATTGGCGGGCCTCTGCAGTCATCCGCCTCCAGTGAAGGCCCCCAACAGAACATGTGGCCAACAAGAAATGATATGTCTTACCCCTATCAGAACCGGCAAGGCCCTGGGGGCCCTGCACAGGCCCCACCTTATCCAGGGATGAACCGGACTGAAGATATGATGGTACCTGAACAGAGGATAAACCATGAAAGCCAGTGGCCTTCTCATGTCAACCAGCGTCAGCCTTCTTACATGTCATCCTCTGCCTCAATGCAGCCTATCACCCGACCTCCTCAGTCATCCTACCAGACGCCACCATCAATGCCAAATCACATCTCTCGGGCTCCGAGCCCTGCATCTTTTCCACGCTCGCATGAAAACCGTATGTCTCCAAGTAAATCCCCTTTTCTGCCTTCTATGAAGATGGCGAAAGTTATGCCCACTGTTCCAGTCCCACAGATCACGGGTCCTCCAGTCCAGCCACCACCAATTAGGCGGGAAATAACATTTCCTCCAGGCTCAGTAGAAGCATCCCAACCAGTCTTGAAACCAAGACGAAAGATTACCTCAAAAGATATTGGTAAGGACTATACAATTATCCTTATGCATGGAAATTTCCTTATAATTGTAATTACAGTGGTGCCCCACATAGCGACGTTAATCCGTTCCAGGATTAACATCGCTATCCGGAAACATCGCTAAACGGAAAGAAAAATCCCATAGGAACGCATTAAACTCTGTTTAATGCGTTCCTATGGGGGGTAAACTCACCGCTAAGCGGGAATTCTCCATAGGGCCGCCATTTTCGTTGCCTTGGTAAGCGAGGAATCGGCGCGAAAACACTGTGGGTGGCCATTTTGGAACCGCCGATCAGCTGTGCGAAAATGGGGCCTTTGGGAGGACTGAGGGGGAGGGCTCCCCTGAAGTCCTCCCAAGGCCCCCTTCGGCATTTTCGTCCAGCTGGCCGGCCAGCGCTTTGGAAGGACCGCGGGGGAGGGCTCCCCTGCCGTCCTTCCGAAGCGCCCGCCAGTTAGCTGGGGGAAAATGGGTCCTATGGGGAAAAATCGCAAATTGCAGCTAATTTAAAGAACAAGATACATGCCCATCACCTTGTTAATTAGCTGCAATTCACCACCACAACTTTGTGAGTTTACTTACTTCAGGGTAAAAATCCCAACTGAATTCTGGCCAGTTGTCATGTAAACTAACATTATTATTATAGCCCTCTTTAATGTTGTCTTTTATAGAGATGGACACAAAGCACTCTATGCCATGTTATGCGTTCCTTTTCCCTCCCACCCCAGCTGGCTCCCCCTCTCACCAGCTGGTGCAGACTGCTTTTCTCCTGCTCTCTGCATGACTGTCCAGTCATACATAGCAGGAGTATCTGCCTTCCTCCTCTGTCTCTTCCAGCAGCTGCCTACTCAGATGAGACAGGGCAGGGATTCCTGCAGCGCAGCCTTTGAGTGGGTGGCTGCTGGAGGAGTGAAGCAGACACTCCTGCTGCAACTGGGCAGTCATACAAAGAGCAACAGAAAAGCAGAACGTGTTGGCCAGTGAGTGGGGGAGCCAGTCAGGCTGGTGGGAAAAGGGAATGTGGTGTTGCAACAACTTGAGACAACACAGCACAAGGGCTTCATGCCCACCTCTAGTCCTGTATTCTTCAAAGATGGCAGTTGCTTCTCTTTTAGTGGTAAACCTCAAAATTCAAAAGACATTCTTTTCTGCCTTTTCCACTACTAGACTGGCATGTCAGTTTTCGTTTCCTAGCCTTTGCAGCTGTTTCATGCTCCATTCTCCCTAAAAGGCAGCGCACGGTAGCATTCGTGTTCACGGTTCCCAACCTTGGCTCCCCAGATGTTCTTGGATTTAAACTCCCAGGAGCCTTCATCACTACCTGTGCTGGCCAGGATTTCTTGTAGTCCAAGAACATCTGGAGACCCACGGTTGAGAAGCATTGTTTCAGGGGAAAGAACAGATGATTTTGGTATCTTCAGTGTGCTTTGTTTATTCACAAAAGTAGGTACACTGAGAGGCACGGGGTGGGGGGGAGATTTATGGCACTTAAAAATTCAAACCAGGTTTGAGGATTAAAAATTGAAACTGATTTTTCTCAGTTCTTAAAAGTTATTTAGACCATGCAAAATGGATTCAGTGTGTAACATGAAATGCGTGTAAGATGTGCATCCATTCCTGTGTTAGCTTGAGACAAAGGATAGACAATCAAGTTGATAACCAGGTATCGTCCCCATCAACTCCTCATGCTTGATGGAGTATAATCTCCTCTGCTTGTGGAACAGGTATGAGAGAATCCAGAATGATTGGTGCCATTCTGTAATTTTTCTTCATGTTTCCGTTTTCAAAATGGCAGTGTGGCTCTTTCATCTTATTGCATACAGTTTTATCTGCATGTAATGCAGTTCTCAGGGGACGTGGTGGCGCAGGGGACGTGGTGGCGCTGTGGGCTAAACCGCAGAAGCCTGTGCTGCAGGGTCAGAAGACCAAGCAGTCGTAAGATCGAATCCACGCAACAGAGTGAGCGCCCGTTGCTTGTCCCAGCTCCCGCCAACCTAGCAGTTCGAAAGCATGCAAATGCGAGTAGATAAATAGGTACCATCTCGGTGGGAAGGTAAACAGCGTTCCGTGTCTAAATCACACTGGCCATGTGACCACGGAAAGATTGTCTTCGGACAAACGCTGGCTCTATGGCTTGAAGAGCGGGATGAGCGCCGCCCCCTAGAGTCGGACACGCCTGGACAAAAATTGTCAAGGGGAACCTTTATCTTTAATGCAGTTCTCAGTGAAAAGATTTTCATGAATGGGCATTGTTCTATTTTGTTCTCCTGTCATTTAAGTAACAAAGTTAGGGAACTGCAGTTAATCTTAGTTTCCTGTACCATCCTGATTGGAAACTCAGGTTACTGGCTTTTAAACAACACAGGGTTACAGAGTCAGTTTTAAACCATAGTTTCATTATCTTATTTAACAGCTAATGTGGAAGCCACTAAACATTGTTTCTTGGTATGTGAGCAATAGGAAGCAATGGTCAAGTGCAGCTTCCCAGCTTGTTCCTTACTCCCACAAGGGAGCAACTTTGAAACAAAGAAATTGTGCAGGATTGCGCAGAGTTTGTGCATATTCCACTTTCTTAATTTAAGATTTGATTGTGTAAACTGTGACATTAAGGAAACTGGTAGATCAGATCATAAATTTGGAATACAAGTGGATATTGTTATTACTGATCATGAGTCCGTGTACCATTTCAAACCTGCCCTGCAAATGTCCCCTAGACAGAATTCATACTAAATTTGTTTATGTTCTTGTTTTCCAGTGACTCCTGAGGCCTGGCGAGTGATGATGTCTCTTAAATCAGGCCTTCTTGCTGAAAGTACCTGGGCGTTAGACACTATTAATATTCTGCTGTATGATGACAGTACTGTTGCCACTTTCAATCTCTCTCAGGTAAGTCTGGTGTTTCGCCAAACTCTTCCTCATGCCACACTTTTAAGGCAAGAGTCATCCAGAAGACCAACCCTTCTAAATTAAACCAGTTACAATCATCATCATATCTTTAACAAAATCTTGGATCCTAAGAGATGGGAATGGCTCTGGAAAAAAAAAACTGGAATTTCTGGCTTTTTCCTTCATTACTCCCATGAAAAAACAATTCTAAGAATTGGGGTGGAGATGGTACATATTCAGTAGTAATTAAGGAGAGCCACATATGCAAATAGAATTACCTTCCACTCTGCAAAACCTCCTTTGAATCTGATTCAGCATTTATACCTTTGATTTACAGTAGGTAGAACTGAAGAATGCTTCCATAGAATACTTTTCAACCTGACATTCAGTCAGTACATCTATTGGACTGCTACATAATAGAAGCCTTCAAGAGCTTATCACTAGCATGAAAGCAAACCTGGCAATTACTAATGTATTGTCCACTCTTCTATAGCTGGAAAGCTAAAGTGGGTCAGAGAATTAGGAGTGGCAGAAAAATGAATGTGAAGTAAATAGTTGCATATGATCTGAAAGGTCACTTTGTGTGGTTGCCATAGAAAAAGATTACATTTATTTCTGTAAATAATATCTTGGATTTTTTAAAGTGAATTCTACCTAGCATTAAGTGAATTTATTTTTGTACAAAACTTGACCAAGATGCCACTACCAAAAATCAACATCTTTGATGCAGAAGACAGGTATACCACAGGATATAAGGAGCATGACTCTGTGATCTGCTGGATTGCTAGTTTTCTAGCTTGCACAATTGTAGCTGTGGTTGTTTTTGTGTCCAACTTACCCTGACTTGCTTCTTTATTCAGAAACAGTGCTGGAATATGGGAGCAGTGAACAGAGTATTGAGTTTTGATGGACCAGATTGGCCTTCTAAATAGCACTTTGCCCAGTCACCTATAACAAGTAATAATAGGAGATAGGAAAACATGGATAGAAGGGTTACTACCAGCACTTGTGAACCAGCAACATCTGTGTATTTATTTGCAGGTTCAAATACCCATTTTAGTAAATATCTCTTAGCCTAAAGTTGCTCCCTGTATACATTAGGGGCAATTTGGAAAAGAAATCTAATTGAAATGAATACATAGAGAGCAGAATGTCACTTACTAAGAATTTTAGGAAGATGGTATCTGCTAAGTATCCAGAAAACAAAGTGGTGAAGCTTCTATTTGGCAGGATTTCAGAATTCACTTTACCTGACCTCTTGGTACATCTGCATTTCTACAGGATGTGCATTGAAAAAAATGTTGCATAGGAAGCAATCCTAAGTTGACAGGGGTGTTACATGCTGGATGATCCACGACTTCCAAATCTCCTGTCTTGCTGCAACCAGTTTTAAGATGGAGAGTGGCTTTTTCTCATTTTCCTCCCACACTCCACATTATTTTTAAATTTTCTTCTTTAGAATAAATAGGAACAAAAACTACTAGAGACCTTATGTGAGGCAACAATGGAGGAATAAGGGGCTTGGGATCTCATGTATCCAAAGATAACACAATTTCCAGAACGCTTTTGTTTTGACTTCTTCCACTGGCAGGATCCTTTCTGTCAAACTTCCTGCAGGTTTACCAGGGACCCACAAAGTGAATATACCACCTTGCTGGTGAAGCTCCTCTTCACTGGCAGAGAAGCACTCCATATAAAAATGTCTACATGCTGTTTCATGTGTAGAATAAAGGGTAGATAGGAAAAATAGGCTGACTCAACATTTTGGATCATGGAAAAGTGTAGAAGTGTTAACTGAAAATCCTTCTGCAAGTAGACCTAGTACAACTAACACAATTCCATGTATTCTAAAATGTACCTCTTAACATTTTTTCCTGTTTTTTCCCCCATTTCTTCCTCAGTTATCTGGCTTTCTTGAACTTTTGGTGGAATATTTTAGAAAATGCCTCATTGATATCTTTGGGATCCTAATGGAATACGAAGTGGGACATCCAGGACCAAAATTACAAAATCATATTTCAGCTCGGAAAGAGAATGGCCAGTCTGTAACAGAGAATGCCAGAAATGAAGAAGAAAACAATGATGAATGTATTGATTACTTTGCTGAATTTGAAGATGAGGAGGAAGAGGAAGAAGAAGAAGATGATGATCGAAATGAGAATGCTGAAGGAGGAGAGAAGAATGCTGTTCTTGCTCCTTCCGGTGCCAATGGTGATCCAAGTGAGAGGCCAAAACAAGCCAGCAAGTTTGACAAGCTGCCAATAAAAATTGTAAAGAAAAACAATCTATTTGTTGTTGACCGATCTGACAGGCTGGTGCATGTTCAGGAATTCAACAGTGGACTTCTCCACTGGCAGCTTGGTGGGGGGGATACAACTGAACACATCCAGACACACTTTGAGAGTAAGATGGAGATTCTGCCTCGCAGGAGGCCTTCTCCATTGAGCTCTACAAGTAAAAAGAGGAATGTGGAAGGGAAAGGGGAGTATGAGGAGCAACAGGACAAAAGCATATCAGCCACCATTGACGATGTCTTGTCAGCTCGACCTGGAGCATTATCTGAAGACTCAGACTCTACTTCACAGACAGATAGCAGTAAATTTCCATTTGGGATCCATCAAGCCAAAAGTCATCGGAATATCAAGCTGTTAGAAGATGAGCCACGGAGTCGAGATGAGACTCCTCTATGCACCATAACTCACTGGCAGGACTCTTTGGCCAAGCGTTGCATTTGTGTGTCAAATATCGTCCGCAGCTTGTCCTTTGTGCCTGGCAATGATGCTGAGATGTCCAAACACCCAGGCCTGGTGCTAATCTTGGGGAAGTTGATCCTTCTCCATCATGAGCACCCGGAAAGAAAGCGAGCACCACAGACATACGAAAAAGAGGAAGAGGCGGACAAAGGGGTGGCCTGCAGCAAGGATGAGTGGTGGTGGGATTGCCTTGAGGTCTTGAGGGATAATACGTTGGTCACCTTAGCCAACATTTCTGGACAGCTAGACTTATCTGCTTATACAGAAAGCATCTGTTTGCCAATTTTGGATGGTTTACTGCACTGGATGGTGTGTCCATCAGCAGAGGCACAGGATCCTTTTCCAACTGTGGGGCCCAATTCAGTCCTTTCACCTCAAAGACTTGTGCTGGAAACCCTGTGTAAACTCAGTATCCAGGACAATAATGTGGACCTTATCTTGGCCACTCCCCCATTCAGTCGTCAGGAGAAACTCTATGCTACTTTAGTTAGGTACGTCGGGGACCGCAAAAACCCAGTCTGTCGAGAAATGTCTATGGCACTCTTATCGAACCTTGCACAGGGGGACACGCTAGCAGCAAGGGCAATAGCTGTGCAGAAGGGAAGCATTGGAAACTTGATAAGCTTTCTTGAGGATGGGGTCACTATGGCCCAGTACCAGCAGAGCCAGCATAACCTCATGCACATGCAGCCTCCACCTCTTGAGCCTCCAAGCGTAGACATGATGTGCAGGGCAGCCAAGGCTTTGCTGGCCATGGCTCGGGTGGAGGAGAACCGCTCAGAGTTCCTTTTGCACGAGGGCCGTTTGCTGGATATCTCAATATCTGCTGTCCTGAACTCTCTGGTTGCATCTGTCATCTGTGATGTACTTTTTCAGATTGGGCAGTTATGACATAAGTGATAAGCCAAGCATGTGTGAGTGGAGATTAGAGGGTCACATATAACTGGCTGTTTTCTGTACCTGTTTATCCAGTGTAGGAAGAAGGAAAAAAAGAATCTTTGCTCCTCTGCCCCATTCACTATTTACCAATTGGAAATTTTAAAAGTATATATTAATTTGAACAGTTACAGAGTTAATATTTGCTGTCTATGTGTGTAAGTACATCTTATTTTATTTTTTAACCAAAGTTTGTCTTGTACATTCAAAGGTCACACTTCTTTTCCATAGATATCCTTTTCAGTGTTTTTTTTTTTCATGTTTGTATCACATATTTTGGGAGGGGAAGCAAACGAGAGATATTGGGGATTAAAATGTTGCAAAATATTATTTGATAAGGGGATAAGGCTCACTACTCTGAAGTGCAAAAGTGGGGAAAATATACTATGTTTACTGTCTGTTTACTTTGCAAGAATGAATGAAAACCCATCCACCCTTTATGCCATTGCCCAAAGCGCTCTGTGCAATAGAAAAATGTTAGTGATGTAGGTGTAGCAGATCAAGGAAAGGGGCTGGTCTGTAGTCTGCGTAAGAAATTATCTTGGTTTCTCTGCAGGAGAATGGTTACACTAAGTTAGGAGCAAAAAATTCTTTAGGAAACTTCTAACACAAACCTGAAGACAGACGATCAACATGAATTGCTTCCTCACCAGAACTGTCACATCAGTATCTTGTTTGACCTTCCACAATGACAGTTCTTCACAATTCCTTTTAATCATTTTTTAAATATTTTTTATTGCCAAAAGGCAGTGATGTATATAGAAGTTGTACATTAAACATACCCTCATCTTTTTTTAAGAAAAATAAGTACAAGGATTTCTCTTCTTTTTTTTTCCATGATGTGGTAACTACAAAGTGATGGTAGACTTAATTTTATTATTATTATTTTGTTTGGGCCATGTTTCCAAAAACTAACAAAAAAAATCACGAGGGTAATGTACAAGTTTCTGTATGTATAAAGTCATGCTCTATTTCGGGAGAGCAATTGCTCACAACTTGCTTTATAAATCAAGATGTGGAAATGGTTATGTATGGATTGATTTAAGAAAATGGTTACCAATCTACAGGACAAAAATACATATAAAGGAAAAAAGGAAGAAACACAACTTCAAAGATTTTTCAGTGAGAAGAATCCGCATTTGTATTTCAAAATAATGTAGTTTAAAAAAAGACAAAAAAACTTGATGTAAATTCCTCCTTTTCCTCTGGCTTAATGAATATCATTTATTCAGTATAAAATCTTTATATGTTCCACATGTTAAGAATAAATGTACATTAAATCTTGTTAAGCACTGTGATGGGTGTTCTTGAATAATGTTCTCATTTCACTATGAAATCAATTACAGTTAGTAGCAGTTAAGGTTATTCTCTTCTGTTTACTGTTGCTCTTGGGTTATTTTCATCTAACATTCAACTGTTGCTGCTGAAAAAAAGCCAATCAAAAATAAGCAACCAGTTTTTACTTATCACAAAAAAGTTGGGGGGTGGGGGAATAGAAAGAGAACAATCATATTGAGAAGTGATTGTTTCCACTGTAGAGCTACAGCAGCCATTGCATTTAGAATGGAAGTGTAATTGTTTGAATAAAAGCACCTATGTTTTTTAAAAGAATCTGACAATAATAGCTGGAAGGAGCGAACTTGTACATTGCCGAAATTATGTTTGGTACCCATTATGAACTGTCAGAAGCTTTATGTAAGGATTCCCTGTGATCACAAAAACTCCATTATTCGTTTACCCACAACAGCTGAAACATCCTTCTCAATAAGAGAAGTAGATTATCAGGCATATTCTTTGCATGTGCAAATCTGGTCTCTTTTGGAGATAAATGGATATCTAGTACAAACAAAAACTGCATGTGAGTATATGCAGGGATCCAGAATGGAGTGTTTATTTCTATGCAAATTATTATAGCACTGATATTTTTATTAACCTGTTAGTTGCTGAGGGCAGTTTATGTATCTTAGGGATTGTTTAAATTCACCACGCAATGAGTTCTGTTCTAAATAGAATTGATTTTAAAATCAGATGGTGTCACCATGGGATTTGGGTTGGCATGTATGTCCTCTTCAGAAAACATTTAACCCATTTTTAAGCTATGTTGTATCTTGACTGAGGGGACTACACTGGCTTTTAGAATCATTGCATTTGAGGCTTTGTCCTGCACCCACCTGCCTTGCCCTCACATTGGCCACTCACCCCTGCTGCTGTGGTGAGAGAGGAGAGAGGGTATTCTGGCAAAGCTGCTTCCTCTTTAGAAAGCTTAGCTGCTTCTGTCCCTTTAAGAGTGTTGAAGCAGCTATCAGCCGCCCGGTTTCCTGAGCAGCCCCACTGGATTCTTTCTGCCCATTTTTAACTTTGTTCCATGAAAGTCTGCCTGGAGAGGAAGGTAAAAGTAAAGGTTCCCCTTGACGTTTATTCCAGTCATGTCTGACTCCAGGGCGCGGTGCTCATCCCTGTTGCCACGTTGCAGAGCCAGCGTTTGTCCATAGACAGTTTCCATGGTCACATGGCCAGCGCAACTAGACACGGAACGCCATTACCTTCCCACCATGGTGGTACCTGTTTATCTACTCGCACTTACATGCTTTTGAACTGCTAGATTGGCAGGAGCTGCGACAAGCGGCGGGACGGGAGCTCACTCCGTCACGTGGATTCGATCTTACAGCTGATGATCTTCTGACCTTGCAACACAGAAGCTTCTACAGTTTAACCTGCAGTGCCACCATGTCCCTGGAGAGGAAAGGTGGGGACAAATAAGGCATGGAAAAGTAGTTTGCACACACAAACTGCTTGCCGAGGAGGGAAATAACTTGCAGCAGGAGCAGGGTGTGGCTGTGAGAGTGTGTCTGTGTCCACCCCTTCTCTCCACTTCCCAGGAAACAGCATTTTAGAAAAGGGATAGAAGCAGCCAAGCTTTGCTAGCAGACCCTCCCTCTCTTGCACCCATCAGTCTCTGCTTCCTTCCTGCTGCCTCCGCTGGTTACCCAAAGGTGCAATTTCCAGCAACAGATGGGTGTACATATGCAGAAATAATTGAAATGTGGGTTTCACATGCATTCTAAAATAAATGACCCTCTGGGAGAACAGTATTTTAGATCATTTTCCAACTAGGAAACACACTTCCCTGGTGAAATAATTCGTTCTCCAGAACACGGCCAAAGAGCCCGAAAAACCCACAACAACCAATTTGTTCTTCTGTTTACATCATGGATACACTTTATTTTAAACAATTCTTAAAAAGCAGAATGCAATACAACAGCAGGTCATACTGTCAGATCAATTCAGAATCCTTTTTGTCCATTTTTAAAAAGCAGAATGCCATACAACAGCAGATATTACTGTCAGTGGGATCAAACCGGAATCCTTTTTTGTCCATTGTATGAGCAGCTAGACTTTTTCCAAGCTTCCAAACAGGTAGCAAGTACTTTCTTGCACAAGAGTTAAATACCTCCCTGCATAAGCCTTGCAAAAGCGATGTCTGGCTTGTAGAATAGCAAACCTGTGATCACATACACCTTTATTAAGCAGGGTACTGCCCCGTAACAACAGTTGAGGGATCACATCACAGAGCATTATTATAGTGTCCCAGAAACCTCTCTGTGAAGAAATCACTGAGGTAGAGCTAATGGTTCATTCAAAGTAATGTCCATCTAGGAATTGCTTCCTACTTAAATTGTTCTTCCATTCATCTGTTGCCAGCACGATATCAAAAGAAGCCGAAAAGGAAGTGCCGTCTCTCTCTTGTGGCAATGCATTGGATCTTAGGCCCCTCACTGAAGCATTTAAAAGGTCTAACAGATCAAGTCCCACAACTCTTGTCCTGAGTTATATTTCAGGAATCATTCCCATTTCTCAAATGAGACACTATTATTTTCATTTAATGTTACTGTACTAAATATAGTTCAAGTAGTCACTCTTGCTGCTTTGTCCTAAATTATGGTCGTTGGAATTGCTGCATATTTGTACATTTTTCTTCCTTTTTAGTCACTATGGAGTTCTTTGTAAATATGTTATCCCAGTAGACATCTTTTATAATCCTGCCATATAACTTGCTCTAACACATTTATATAGAAGATGATTGTACGGACAGGCAAAGTACATACTACTATTATCATCCAAGTTTGACATGTGACTCCCTTGTGTCACAAAAAGTAATTTTCCCTTCTTCAATTGTAATCTATTCACTCTTGTATCACCCGTGGTAACAGTCTCTTCTATCTCTTTGTTTCTTGTATAATAATGTGTTCAAAAATATATGTTAAATTATAGCCCAGTTGTAACTACATGCCATGAAAAGAAGCAGATTTAGGAAATGATAAAAACCTTAAAAGCACTGTGTGGTAAGAAGCTGTATCTAAGATCCTAAGTATGCTCTGTTACACAAAGTAATTTTAATCTCTTCAGAACCTGAAGCTGACCTTTCTGTTCTTTATGTATTTTAATCCTGTGCTGATACGGTTTTGTAGTACCTATGAAGGCAGCAGGGAAAAAGGAAGACCAAATATGAGATGGATTGACTCTATCAAGGAAGGCACAGCCTTGAATTTACAAGAGCTGAACATTTTGGAGCATGCTCGTTCATGAGGTTGCTACAAGTTGGAGGTAATTTGATGATACATAACAATTGTTTAGAAAACACATATCAATTCACTATGAGAAAATGTGTCCATCACCAGTACAGTTAAAAACACTGGAATGGTGTTGGCAGTAAGAAATAAACCGGTCTTTGTCGTCCTAATAACCCACAATATTTTTATCAGGAGTGGGAGAAACTACTGGTGTACTGTCTCTTCCATATTATTTATTTATTTATTTTATTTAATACCTTCATTTATTTCCTGCCCCATTAGTACCAAAACACTATTCTAGGCAGTTTAAAAAGGATAAAAACAAGCTTCACAACAAAGCACTAAAATATAACACAAATAACAGTAATGTGGCGAGAGCATTTTTCAAAAAAAAACGTGACACCAACAGATTATCACAGAAAAGCAGAACTGGAGGCGAAACACTCAAACAGGGTCAGATTGAAAAGAAGTGTTTTCAATTGTCTTCTAAAAGAATACAGGGAGAGTGCCAGGCATAGCTCCTCTGGGAGCTGGTTCCTTAGTCTTGGTGCCACCATTGAGAAGACCCTACCTCTGGTAGATGACCTTTGGGCCTCTCTCGGGGTGGCTACCCAGAGGAGCCTGGCCTGAGACGATCTGATGTATTGGGCAGATGACATTGAGGACCAACAACATCCATAACCTCTTCCCTCTGGCCAAATTGGCTGGGGCTGCTGGTAACAGGAGTCCATCAATAGTCATAGGTTCTCAACCCCTGCTTTGATTGGTCTATGGAACTAGCTTGGAGCATCATCACTGTCCATCACATTCAAACATTAAGTTTGAATTGAACAAAATGCTTAAAACTCTGGATTTCAATTACACAGCATGCATGGTTTATACAGTGGTTCTCAAACAATCAGATAATTTAGCTGTTATTTGTCCTATTCTTAATAGTAACTTTTCAGCATTATTCTTCCAAACTTGCACAAATTATGAAATCACAAAATCTAAAAATAGCACATTTTGGCACCAGGAGAATGCAGTATACAGTTTGATATGAATAAAGAGATAAATATTTTTGAATGTTGTGGTCAAACATTTTGGTTAATTGTTGTTTTATGAGGTACACTTTCCAAGAGAATTGGTAGGATGGATTCTGTTTGTTCAGCTGAATTGAGCAAATTATTATAAAGGACCTATGATCAGATTGCCAGATTAATAGGTAAATTTCTAATACAAAGTGTTAAGAAATTAATTCTGAGACAGGAGGCATCCTTCATATTTAAGGGGGGGGAGAAAAAAATGTGATAAAGCAATTGACCAAAGTGGAATTTTTAAAAAACTGAATAATAATTGTTACCATGTAATTTTGAGTTGGACCTGGCTTCTTAATTACCTACAGAAAAGAAGATACTTTTGCTCAATGCCATTTGGCTTTTATGTGTTCAGAGCAAAGTGCTCTATGTATGTGCCCTTTTCTTTAAGTATCCAGAGAAAAAGGAAAGACGACATCAAAGAAAGGACAGAATAGGATGCTTCTAGAATAGAAAACCTACAAAAAAAAAAACACTTCAAGCCTTCCTCAGGTGCACCCCAGACTTATTTCTTGTACTTAGGGCAAGGTCTCTCAATGCCAAATATTAAGCTCTACCTATCAAGTAACATCTTCCTTTATTTAAAAAAGGGACTGCTTTGTGGTAACATTCAATACATATTGAACAGAGGGAAAGAAAAGTGGGCAAGAG